TTCAGCCCTCAATGGGGCCTTCCTCAGTGCTGTGGTCTTGGGATAAGTTCAGGGTTTAAATACCCCCTTGATTTGATGAAGTCGTTTCAGCTGGGATTCAAAATTAATGCCAGTCAGGTTACTTCCGGTTTCGGCAGATCATGTGACTTCCGGTTTATTCTACATTCCACCATGCATTCCATTTTCAAGCATGGTGGAAATAGAGGTAGTGAAACTATAAAACAATAGTCAATGAATGAAAAGGTAAAGCAAAAAATGTGGAATAAGATAAAAACTAAAACTAATACCACTTCCGGTTTCGGCCGCGGACACGTGACTTCCGGTCACGTGATCTTTTGCGTTCCACCATGCGTTCTATCTCTAGGCATGGTGGAAATGATGTCAGAAGAGTCCATATAAATAAAGGATATATACCTATACATACAAAATACAAAATAGGGAATCATTTGCCCAAATAAACAATGTGAAAATGCATAAAACAAATATAATAAACCTTCAACTTTAAATGGCATAGGGAAATATAGAAAAATATATAAAATGTAAAGCAGAATGGATATTTAAAGGGAAAGTATCCAAAAATATAATAACAAATATATCCAGATATTAAGAAGTAATAACAAAAAATATATAAAAAAATATACAAATGCCAATATAAAAATATATAAAAATATACAAAAATATATATAATATAAAAATATAAAAAGTGTATAAGTCTTAAAAATATGGATTTAATCTCATGTAAAAATTCATAGGAAATGGACTAACTCAAAATCTATATTAGCACAAAATGTCTGTCGATATAAATATCCTGACAGCTTCAGCAGGTAGATAAATGGCCTTAAGTTCTCCTGCAAAAGGACTTGATCAACTTGGGAATTCATTTTTCCTTCGATGATAGCAATCCGTCCAGGCCCTGATGCAGCAAAGCAGCCCCAAACCATGATGCCTCCACCACCATACTTCACAGTTGGGATGAGGTTTTGATGTTGGTGTGTTGTGCCTTTTTTTCACCACACATACTGTTGTGTGTTTCTTCCAAACAACTCAACTTTGGTTTCGTCTGTCCACAGAATATTTTGCCAGTACTGCTGTGGAACATCCAGGTGCTCTTGTGCAAACTGTAAATGTGCAGCAATGTTTTGTTTAGACAGCAGTAGCTTCCTCTGTGGAATCTTCCCATGAAATCCATTCTTATTTAGGGTTTTACGTATTGTAGATTCGCTAACAGGGATGTTAGCATTTTCCAGTGACTCTTGTAAGTCTATAGCTGACACTCTAGGATTCTTCTTCACCTCATTGAGCAGTCTGCACTGTGCTCTTGCTGTCATCTTTGCAGGACGGCCACTCCTAGGAAGAGTAGCAGCAATGCTGAACTTTATAAATAGAGTGCTCTCCATTTATAGATAATTTGTCTTACCGTGGACTTATGAACAAGGCTTTTGGAGATACTTTTATAACCTTTTCCAGCTTTATGCAAGTCAACAATTCTTAATCGTAGGTCTTCTGAGAGCTCTTTTGTGCGAGGCATCATTCACATCAGGCAATGCTTCTTGTGAAAAGCAAACCCAGACCTGATGTGTGTTTTTTATAGGGCAGGGCAGCTGTAACCAACACCTCCAATCTCATCTCATTGATTGGACTCCAGTTGGCTGACATCTCACTCCAATTCGCTCTTGGAAATGTCATTAGTCTAGGGGTTCACATACTTTTACCACCTGCACTGTGAATGTTTACATGTTGTGTTCAATAAAATATGGCAACATTTCATTCTTTGTGTGTTATTAGTTTAAGCAGACTGTGATTGTCTATTGTTGTGACTTAGATGATGATCAGATGACATTTTATGACCAATTTGTGCAGTAATCCAAATCATTCCAAAGGGTTCACATACTTTTCTTGCAACTGTATTTTCTACCTGTACTGTATCTATTGTGTATTAATATTGTTTTTGTATTTTATTGTACCCTAATGTAACAATGCAATGTTTTGTGGACCCAGGACATACTTGAACACAAGAGAAATCTCAATGTATTTTTCCTGGTAAAATATTTTATAAATAATAAAATAAAATAATTATCTCCCAGGCAAAGAGGAGGGATTATCTGATTTTGTATGGTAGTGTCCTGGACCTTAGAGACAATGTGAATGTGTATTTATTTCTACTGTGGTTTACTCTCAGGTGCAGGGGGGTTCCCCTTTGCATTAGTACTGTCATAAAAGGCCAGTTGTGGCTACTATTAAAGTGAGATTCATTTTACCCTTCTTTAAGTCTAGGCTCATGTTTGGACGATTGGAGAGCTATATTCACACTCTCAGATTGCTATAATCACTATACTCCCTTGGATCACAAGACTTGCTCTTATAAGAGCTGCCTGCTTCACTCTCTAGACTAGGAGAGGTCTACCCAGTGGAAGCTGGATCCTGGTTTTGGGTCCAGGGTTGGTGGAGGACTGCAGACCCTAACCAAGCTGCAGCGATTTGTGGGGTTTACGGTGGCTAAAATGTTCCAGTGCAGTGCTTATGGTTCTCGCAAGTATTAGGAAGCAGCGATGGATAGAGGTACAGTTTGGATTAGGTTTATGAAATTTTGAATTTTTAATCACAGAATTTGTTGTCCAGTTTACTACAATGGACAAATTATTGGTATGTCCTAGTTCATTATATGGATAGATTTAGATTGGTGCATATAAAGGGTGCATTGCCAGTTATCAATCATTGGCCTTGATTTCACGCTTTTGGATAAGCAATCCACTAGAAAAAGTTTAAAATATTTATCTACAGACGTCTCCATTAAAGTTTTTGGTAATGTTTGTAGATAAATGCTTTGAAAAAAAAATCTAACATGGTAATCATTTGAAAATCTTATTATGAATAGTGATGCACCGAACGGTTCGCTGGCGAATAGTTCCTGGCGAACATAGTATGTTCACGTTCGCAACGGCGGGTGAACATATGCGCGGTTTGATCCGCCCCCTATTCGTCATCATTGAGTAAACTTTGACCCTGTACCTCACAGTCAGCAGACACATTCCAGCAAATTAGCAGCACACCCTCCCTAGCAGGCCCTCCCACCTACTGGACAGCATCCATTTTAGATTCATTCTCAAGCTGCATGCTTAGTGAGATGAGGGAAAGTGTAGCTGCTGTTGATTTGATAGGGAAATGGATA